ATTCAAAATAATGTTTATTTTATCGATGACAAACAGCATATGACAAGAATATAGATACAGAACATTGTCAGAGCAAAATTGCATACATAATAATAGCTTGCCACTCATATTCGAGGATACCCGTCTATTAGGGCGGCTAGCCAATCCCTTATTGCAGACGCTCGCTCAGGCACATTTGTGTTAGTTCAGCACTCACAGAGCCCACCTGTAGTTTATACTGCAACCATGCTGAACAGACCTTACAGTTTCTGGGATAGAGCGTGTTATCTACCGTGATCTGAACAAGGCCAGCACGCTCAAACTCTCGGTCACGATGACTTGTGCTATCAACGCCCAAGTGTTCCGTCTACCCAATTTCATTCATAAGGTCTGGGTCAACTAGTGGTATGGTTTTCAGACACTTTCCAAAGGTGCCGCACTCTGGGATCGCGCCCTCTTGACCAGTAACATCAGGAAGTCTCCTTCCTGACAAAACAACCGTGGTGAGATTCGAACCCAGGTCTCATGGTCAGAAAGCATTTATTCGGCATCCCATAATTCTGTAACAACTTCTCGATATACTCTTAGCAATCTGGTACCTGTGTATTACCACAGAAGCAAAGGCAGTCAGTTATGTGCCATGCGTGATACACACGTAGGCGATCATGTATTTTTCGATACATGATTGACGAGGCAAATTTTTTCCCGGAGTAGGTTGCCATTTCTTTCTGCGGTAGACCAGTTACCATCCAAGGCTATAGAACGCGGTCTGTTCTGCTACTTACCCATAGTTGGAAGGAGAAGAAGAGGATTCATACCTTTCTTAAGAGTATTAGCACTAAGTGAATGTAATGGATTCGAACTGGGCTCTCCGATTATTCAATCCGAGCCGCTATCCATTACTCCACCGTGCCAGGACAGACTTAATTTAAATGCTTCGCATGTGCTCTGTTCATTTAAGATAAGAATCTCCGCAGAATTACAAACTGTTTTCAATGTGGAAAGATGAGGTGAAGTCCTTGTTTCGTTTCCTGAATTTGGTGATCCTTACATTATAAACTGGTGATCCTTACATTATAAACTGGTGATACTTACATCATAAACTGGTGATACTTAGATCATAAACTGGTGATCCTGACATCATAAACTGGTGATCCTTACATCATAAACTGGTGATACTTACATCTGCCGTAACCAGGTTCGACTTCTTAAGCCTGAGAAATTTGAGAAGCACTGATGTATATATTTACGTCCATGCGTACCGGACATTTGAATTTGAAGAGGATATCATTTCGCCACAATTAAACTTATTTAGAGTAAAGGATAGCGGCTCGAAATGGGAGAGCCGAGTTCGAAATCCAGTCGAATCCATTAAATTCACTTACCTACTAATACCCTCGAGAAAGGTATGAATCCCCTTCTTCTCCCCCCAGCTATGGGTAAATAGCAGAACAGACCAGGCTTTATTGGATGGCAACCCCAGAAAGAAATGATAACCTACTGCAGGAAAAAAATCTGCCTAGTCAGTCATGTATTGAAAGATGTATGATCACCTAAGCGGGAATTACGCAGACACATAATTCACTGACTGACGCAGGGCCGAAAGTAGGTCGCCAAAGGCGGCTATTATGTCAGTTTCTTTTTTAAAAATATAATACAATTTCCAAATTAAAAAATTAAAAAAAAAACAACACAATGTCCTAAATCGGACTCATCTGGCAGTCTTGAATGCATGTATATGTATACATTTTACGTATATGTATAGATGTATATCTCAAAAACTAGAGGTGATGAGTGACAATGGATTTCATATCTGAAGTCAGACCCCACCCGCCAAAAAATAGGTTAAAAAACATATTTTGTATGATTACCTAAACTTCTCTGTAAACTAGTATTATTCCAGATTTGATCTTGTTATAGTTTGGGGTATAAAAATTGATAAGCCCATTCTTGTTGGTAGATTTTCTGTAAAACTCAAACTGGAGTTCGCTACTGTTTCTATACAGCATGATACCTCAGAAGTGTAGAGTGTTGTTAGACTCAGATTCAAAGGTAAGGTCTGTTGTGGATTCGGTGTTAAGCTTGTTGACAAGATCGGCAATATTAAATTTTGTGGATATATCGACGTAATTCCCCATGTATAATACGCTTTAATCCATAATACGCACACCTAAAATAGTATTGAAAGTGTGGGAAAATGCTTCTACTCACGCATAATACGCACCCCTTGCTTGGTAATCAAACCCTATAAATTGTACCTTTCCAGTTTCATTACGGACAGCGTTTCCAACTCTTATTTTAAAAAATGCTTTTAAACATAGAATAATATTATTCTAATTTAGTTTTATGATAATTCTTATTTTATTTTACGGCAATTTTTTAAAGAATTTTTTAGCTGTGATTTTGTTTATTATGTTTTTAGAAAAAAATGAGTATTATACATGGGGAATTACGGTAATAGATAATCATCTATGTATCTGAAATAAGGAGAATTTTATGTTAAAATATATTTGAAGGGACCACTTTCCAGAAATTCCAAAAATAGAAGAGCCAAAATGATGCTAAGAGATGACCCCATCGGTAAACCAAATTTTTGTCTATAATAATTATCGGTGAAAAAACATTGATGATTAGATGGCATATTTATGAATTTATTTGTAAGAAGGGGTAATTTTAGCTTTGTTTCAATTGTTTTTAGTAAATTTAGACATTTCTTTGAATTTTTCCTCTTGTCTATAGAATAAAATCCTTGAATTTGTTTTGATAAAGTCCCTCAGAGGACGAAAGGCATCGGCTAAGATAAGTTTTATTTTGCTTTCATTCATATTGTCCTTTTTAAAGAGACACTCTATCTGAAATTTTTTGCACACGCACGTATGTATGTATGTATGTAAGCATTTCTGCAAGATGCGATAGAAAAATTGTCGTTTAAATTACGCAAAAAAATAGAAATAACACTGACATTTCATTTTAACGGATATATTTACCAAAATTATACAAAAATATCTCGAAATACGAAAGAGTAAATTTATTCAATAAAATCGCCATTGACTTCAACCACGCCCTCCAGACAATGTTGGAATCTTCTGAATCTCTTCTAGACGTTCTCCTTATTTAAGTTGATGAATGCTGTCATAATCCTTGCCTTCAGTTCAACTTTGGTGTTACAAGGAGTTTTGTTGGTCTCTCGCTCAGCTGCGCCCCACACATAATAATCCAAGGGTTTGCAATCTGGGGATTTAGGTGGTCAGATGTAAAGGGTGATGTAGTCGCAGAAATTGTTTGACAGCCATGACTGGGCTCTCCTGCTTGTGTGACATGGTGCAGAATCCTATTGCCAGACATAGTGTCTTCTAGTAGGCAGCCTCTTAACACAGGGTAGCACTGTCTCCTCAAGGTACTTGATGTAGGCCTAATGCCAAGCAGCACAGCATGCTGTTTCCAAATTTCTGACGGAGTGAATTACGTCATGGTGGTCTTTTTCTCACGGACACTGCCCAACTGACCCTACTATGCTGTGCAGTCAACAAAATCAAAAACAAGCAACGTACATGCACGAAATTAAAAATATAATATAGCGACAATTTACCCATCGCACCCTGTATATATTCGAGGGTGAGTGAAAAAGTGATGCAATTTATTTTATTATGTAAGAAATAAGGAACACAATCAGATATGTCGCACATCAACATATGCCTATACATCACATGTTTATATTAAAGTTTCTTTAATTTAGTATTCCATTTCTGAGATCACCATACAAGCTGTTACTTGGACGAAACGTTGTGCTTTTCTATCTATCTATCTATCTATCTCTATCTCTCTCTCTCTCTCTCTCTCTCTCTATATATATATATATATATATATATATATATATATAAATGAACATAGAAGTCAACATAGAGGGCGACAGTCTGTTTCCTGCTAGAGGCAATCATCTGGCCTGACGATTGCATCTAGCATGAAACAGACTGTCGTCTCTAAACTTCTATGTTCACTTTATTTACACACGCTCTATCTCTGATATTCAGCACTTTATCCCATAAATATAGCACATCATAAGACTATATTTCTTCATATATATATATATATATATATATATATATATATATTCTGAGTACTTTCGACATAGCATAATGTCATCATCAGAGTATTGTTAACTATAGAGTAAGTATTTAAGGTTCATAGTTGCGAAGGACAAGAATCGTAGTGGTCATTCGAAAATTATCATTTTTATATGTGGTGTCAGAAACGCTGTGTCATGGCTTAGATGATGGACACCGTTTAAGGGGAGGTAACTAGGTATGCTGTGGAAAAATTTCGGACTTGAGTAGTCGCTAGATAAAGGAAAAACTATTAATGACAAGCGCTAACATTTAAAGACTATCTATTGTACCCATTTTGTGGAGTACAAACATATACAAATACACACACACACACACACACACACACACACACACACATATATATATATATATATATATATATATATATATATATATATAAATATAGAAACAAAGTTTATGTCGAAAGTACTGGCAAATAAATACAATATTAATGAACACGTCTTTTAATAACCGCACAAAAAAGCTTAACCGCGAATATGAAATGATTCTATCGAGAATAAGTAGACAGAACATGTGTAAATTATTTAACGAAACCTGTCTTATTGAAAATATGCTGGGGGACTCCAAAAAAAATATAGTAATAGTGAGAGTAAGAAACGGAGAGGTTATGATTAGGAAAGAGACAAACATGGAGTAAGAGAAAGAGAAAGAAGTGTAAAACTGTGTAAAATGATGGAGTAAGAAACAGAGAAATAGACGAAGAGAGTGTATGGGAGAGAGAAGAGTAAGAGAAAACAACAGAATCAGTGAGAGAGTGTGAATGAGCACAGAAAAGAGAATGAAAGGCGTTCTTCTATCGGTGTTTTTTTTTTTTTTTACATTATTTCTCGAATATCAATCTTTATTTTAGCTGAGATTGAGATTGAGTAAAAATATTTTTTTTTACTTCCAATCATGTTCTTTTTTTCTTGTCTTTTTTTCATTCATTCTCTCATATTTTTTTTCATTTTTTTCGTCTTTCTTTCTCCTCTTTTCCTATCCTTTCCCTATTTCTGTTTTACTTTTTTCAACTTTTTCTTTTTTCATTCTTTCTCCATTTTCTTTCTTTCTTTCTTTCTGCTCATTTTTCTTTCTTATTATTTTTTCTTTATTCTTTCTTTTTTCTTTCTTTCTCATCCTTCTTTCTTTCTTTTTATTTTCCTCCTTTATTTCTTTTCCATTTTTCATATTTCATATTTTCCTTGTCGCTTTTCTTCCTTATTTTTTTTCCGTTTCATTTCTGTTTTTCTTTATTTTTCCTTTGTTACTGCACATGGTGAATCTCGCTTCTTCACTCTGTTTTCTTTCGTTCTTATCAATCTTTCATATTTTCTAGCCTAATTCTCTTCCCTTCTTCCTTTCTTTCTTTCTTTCTTTCTTTCTTTCTTTCTTTCTTTCCATAACATTTTTAAGCCTATTTACTATTGACTCTCTTTTATTCTTTGCATTTATTTGCAATTTTCTGTATTTTTTCTCATTCATATCTTTCTCTTCAAAATCCGTCTCATTCTGCCCCACTTTCTTTTCTTAATTTTCTTTTCCTTTTCACTTCTTTCCTTCTTACTTAGTTTAATTTTTTCAAACAATTCTGTTTTTCTCTTCTTTCTATTTTTTTTTTTTATTATTATTGGTAGACGGTCTCTATTCATCTTCTTGTCAAAGGATTAGTCATCGTTCCTCTTCGTTAGTTAAGACATTTACCTTCAAACATGGAAGCAGATAGTCTTCTGAGTCAGGTTCACGGGTATTTATTTACTAACTTATTTAAATAGACTAATTTATTTACTAACTTATTTAAATAGACTAATTTATTTACTAACTTATTTAAATAGACTAATTTATTTACTAACTTATTTAAATAGACTAATTTATTTACTAACTTATTTAAATAGACTAATTTATTTATTGAAAGCCACCGGATAAAATTTTATTCTTTGTGTCATCTTTCTTTTTTTTCTTTTTTCTTTGAGGGCTTTCTTAGATCTTATGAAAATTGTGTTTAATCATGAATTTTAGCAGCATTTTTCTTTCTTTTTCACTGTTAATTTTCTGGATTTCTCCTTTGCTTTGTTTCCTATTGTGTATTTTTTCCTTCTTATTTTCTGTATTAATTTTTCATTGTTATTTTATTTTTTCTTTCTTTCTCTTTCATTGTCATAATTTTTTTTGTATTTTTTACAGTTAAATATCATTCTTTCTTTGGCACTGTTTTCTTCTTTTCTCCCTTTCCTACGCCATATTTTTTTCCTTCTTATTGTTTTTCTTAATTTCTATATTTATTTATAATTTTTATTCTTTTAGTCGTATTTTTCTCTCTCTTCATTGTTAACATTTTTCTTTCGTCTTCGCCATTACTTCATTTTTTTTTCAGTGCTATTATTCCTTCCGTTTTCTTCTTTTGATATTCTTTCTTTGTCATTGTTATTCTTCATTTCTTTCTGATTTTTGAGTTTTTATTTCTTTTCCGCTGTTATTCTTGTCTTCTGAATTTCATTCTTATTGTTATTAATGTGTTTTCCTTTCTCACCGTTCTTTTTCTCTCTTTCTCGTTTTCTTTCTTTCTCTCTTTCTTTTTAATTTGTCTTTCTCTTTCCTGTTTCTCACTTTCTTTATTTCTTTCCCTATTTCATTCTTTTCCAAGTTCTTTTTATCTTACTTCCCCTCGTTCTCCCTTTATTACTCTCTTTCTCTCTTTCTTTCTTTCCCTCTTTCTTTCTTTCTCATTCTCTTTCTTACTTTCTTTCCCTACTTCGTTCTTTCTGTTCCTACTTCTTTCTTTCTTACTTTCTTACCGTTTTTTCTTTCTTTGTTACGTTCTTCATTTCTTTCTTACTTTCTCTCTTACTTTCTCTCTCTTTTTCTTTCTCCCTTTATTACCGCTCCCTTTATTACTCTCTTTCTTTCTTTCTTTCTTTCTTTCTTTCTTTTTCTCTCATTTTCATTAAAATATTTTGTTTGTGTCTTTCTTTCTTTCTTATACTTTCTGCTTTTCTTTCTCATTTATATTCTTTCTTTTTCGTCTTTTATTTTTCACTGTTATTTTTCTTCCTTTTTCATTGTTTATCTTTCCCTAATCTATCTTTCTTTCTCGCAGTTATTTCCTTTTTCTTTCTTTTCCACTGATTTTTCTTTCTTTTTCACTGTTACTTTTTCTTTTCTTTTTTTCGATCACATTGACATTCTTTTTTCTCATGGAACTTTCTCTTTACATTTGGAAGACAGTGTAAATGAGGGTGATTCGACTCTGTGGAAGTCACATAGTATATCCTAGTTGTAACGGTCTGAACTAGTAGAACTGATGAATGGAGCACAGGTGTACATTTGCCATGGAAATAGCGATAGTGTAGCGACATGTCTCTGTTGTAATGTGGTTGCAGAATGGAGAGATAACCACCCCCATGCGATTACAAACTGTAAAAGTTTTGAACTCTCTCAAGGATGGAAAGTGAGAATTGAGTAACATCATTTGAAAGTCCCGGATTTTACTCGGAATACACAGTTGAGGTGCAGAATTCTAGTGACATAACTAATATATCTATCTATCTATCTATCTATCTATCTATCTATCTATCTATCTATCTATCTCTCTCTATCTATCTATCTATCTCTCTCTATCTATCTATCTATATATATATATATATATATATATTTTTATATATATATGTGTGTGTGTGTCTATGTGTGTCTACATGTGGGTTTATATATATGAGTGTGTGTGTATTTATATATGTTTGTGTGTGCGTACGCGTGTGTTCATATATGCGTGTGTACATATATATGTGTGTGTATGTGTGTGTACGCGTGTGTTTATATATGTCTGTATATATATATATATATATATGTACGTGTGTGTGTGTGCGTACGCGTGTGTTTATATATGTGTGTGCATACCCGTGTGTTTATATATATATATATATATATATATATATATATATATGTCTGTGTGTGTGTGTGAGTTTGTATGCGTGTGTGCGCACATATATATGTCTGTGTGTGTGTGTGCTTGTATGCGTGTGTGCGCACATATATATGTCTGTGTGTACGCATGTGTTTATATATGTGTGTGTATATATATTTATATGTGTGTGTGTTTGAACGCGTGTGTTTATATATATGTGTGTACGCGTGTGTTTATATATATATATGTGTGTGTGCATATATATGTGTGTATGTTTGTTCGCGAGTGTTTATATGTTTGTGTATGTGTGTGCATATATATGTGTGTGTACGCGTGTGTTTATATATTTGTGTATATATATATGTGTACACACGTGTTTTTATATATATTTGTGTATATATACATATATATGTGTGTTTTTGCGCATGTGTTTATATATATATGTGTGTGCATATATATATATATATATATATATATATATATATATAAAAAGAAGACAATTGGAAAATATTTCTCAGTCGTTGCCGACGTGTTTCGTCAATCCAACTTTATCAAGGCAAGTTTAAAAGTGAAATGTTTTTTCGTTATATTAAATTCAAAATATTTAAAAGGGAACGCTCCTTTGTAAAACTTCTTTTTGGATGTTGGTCACTGATTTTTTTTTTTTTTTTTTTTTTACTAAGAATTGGTTTTATTTTTCCATGTCGACCATATTGTTAAATTTCTTAGAATAATTCTGTGGATAAGACAATTTGGATAAAAAGAAGAGAATTTGAAAATATATTTCTTAGTCATAATGACTTGTGTCTTGAGAATATAACCACGACAAACAAAGCAGGCTTAATTAATAATCTCAAAATTAGTACCGAAACACTATAGATGTCTATTTGAGTTGGATGGTACATGAATGTCAGCAAATCATACACACGGCCCTTCGCTAAAGACGCTGGTCGGTTCCTTGTACGGTTCAGAAAGAATCTGACTCATTCTGATATGTACCGGGTGTAACAGCAAAATTGTCCAACTGGTGTAACAGCATAATTGTCCACACTACAAAATGATTAACATGTAAAAAAAAAAAAAAAAAAATATTCTAATTCAGTTTCGTTTTTCCAGTTTTTCAGATACGACGTTTAGCCATCTTGACACCATTTATCGTAGGAATCACTAAACCCCTTTCAATTATTCAGCTAGAAATAGAACAGGTTAAAATCGTTTTGTGTCAGCCCCACTCTCTTCCCAAATAAACAATGGCGAGAGGAAAAAGATCATTCGGGGCTTCAGTAATGTTACCAACATTCAAACTCTGCCTCCCATCTTCAAAGTCCACTCGAGAACCTTCACGAGAATGGCGAATAAGTTTTATAAAAATGAAGGAACAATAGAGAGGAAAACTGGATTTGAAGGTCACAACAGGAAGAGGGATCATCATTTCAACTTAGAACTAAAGAGATCAATTAGAAAAGATCCAACTAAAACCATAAAACGTTTGGCACATGAGAGAGGAGTTTCTGCGATGACAGGCTAAAGAGCAGTGAAAAAAGACTTCAAAATTAAATCGTACGTGACACCAGTGAGGCAACTTGTTACTCCAGGACAGAAGGTTTAGATGGCGAAGATCGTCATGCATTTGAACTTTATATCAATCGTTCATTTGCTTTTGATCCATTTTTACCATTTCAAAGTGTGTCATAATTTTCTGCACGATGGCCATCTTTTGTCATTCATTTTTATCATGGCTTGATTATCTTCTCATGTACTATTATTAACTTTTATTTTTTATTATTATACCTCTTGATTCCTTGGGGAACATAGGGCCGCAACAACATCTCTCCAACGGTTCCAGGCGATCCTCTTCAGCCCATGTCGTGCCGGCTGCCTTCACCTCTATGTCAACACTTCTGCGCCAAGTCTGTTTTGGTCGACCCACTTTTCGCTTCCATTGTGAATTCTAGTCAAGGACGTGCCTGCCTGGTGATACTAGAAGCAGGCTTTCAAAGTGTGTTGCCGATCCATCCCCATTTTCGTTTCTTGATGTCAAACTCGATTGGGGCTTGTCTGGTCCTGTCCCACAGTTGGTCATTGGAGACGACTTCCGGCCACTTGATATTGAGGATGTTCCTGAGACATCAGTTGGTAAATGTGTTAAATTTGTGGGTGTTAGTCTTAGTCAGACCAACACCCACAAATTTAAGACATTTACCAACTGATCAAACACCAAGTTTCTGAGCCGTAAAGTAGGATCGACTTGACGTTGGCGTTGAAGATCCGGATCTTGTTGTCGACCAAGTATTGAATCTTAGTTTAAAAACCGCTTAACTAACACGATCAAGTTTAACTTACCTGTCTGTTGTAATGAATAGTTTTGTTTGCTTTGTTTGTTCTACGACATATGAACTCATTGGGACATTTAATGCTGATTTTTTCCCTAAGTGAAGCGTTTTATTTAAACAGTCATTTTTTAAAACTAATAAGACTATTGTTAGTTGTGGATATATTTTTTAAATTATATTTTTGAGATCAGTTGAATGTCTCTTAAAAACTGGATTTTTTTTCCATTTCTTCTAGAAGTTTTCTTTTGGAATACAGTTTGGATTCTTTCAGAAATTGTAGAATATTATATGGATTAATGCCATGAAAGAGTTTTTTTTTTCATTTTGGTTGTTTAGCGACATACCAACAACTCTATGTTTGATTTAATGACAAAATCTAAATATTTTCCGTCCTGGGTATGACGATAAACTACGTCAAACAGCAAGACCTCTGATCAGAAGGTTTTGAGGAGCGTGGAACCACTTCTTAATTGCTGGTGTTCCCAGGTCCACCGTGACCCGGGGTGGTAGCACCTGCTAGGGTCCAAGCTATGGGCAAATAGTTAGCACCCAAACTTGGGTCAATATACTATGAAAGTGTAAAAATATGTTTTAATACCAGAAATACTTTGTAAAAAAAAATTATTACCAGCAATACATTTTTTGAAAAAGATATATATTACCAACGAAGGAAAATTCTTACCAGAAATAGATTTTTGAAGGAAAAAATATTAACAGAAATAGATTTTTGGAAAAAATATTACCAACAATGAAAATTTTGTCGGCCTTAAATAATCCATTGAGGTTGATATGCCATAACCAAACCAAACCAAACAAACTAAATATTTTGAACAATTTTATGGCTTCAACTAAATATATTTTGAACGCAATTGTACGCATCCAACTACTGATAAAATGTATTGTTGGTCATTTTACTATAAATATGTAGTGTTACTTTTTTATATAAAATGTATTGCTGGTATTTTTACTGTAAAAATGTATTTATTTTATACTTTCATTATGTTTTGTTTTTTGGGAGGGTTCACTATTTGCCCATAGTTAGGACCCTAACAGTTGCTACCACCTCGGGTTAACGTGAATTTGGCAACAACACAACTAAGAGGTGGTTCTATGCTGCTCAAAATCTCAATATCCCGATCAGAGGCCTTGCTGCCGGATGTAGTTTATCATCATAACAAGGAATATTTTTTTACAGCTGCGCCAAAACAATCTTCAAAACTTTGAAATGAAACGTTCAATGAAAGAAAAAAGAAAGAAAAATATGTAATGGTAATAAGAAAGAAAGAAAGAAAGAAAAGCGTATATAATGGTGATAGAAAGAAAGGAAAAAAAGAAAGAAAAAATAAATTATAATGACGTCAAAGAAAATTATCTTTAAAAAAGAGTAAAGGAAAGAATAACAAAGAGAAAAGAGGAGTACAGAAAGGGAGAAAGAAAACTGAAAACTGAGGAAGAGGTAAAAAAAATTAAAGAAAGGGAAGAAAGAACTAACGGGCGAACGAAAAAGAAAGAAAAAATATAATGGTAATAAGAAAAACAGAAAGAAAGAAAAAAGAAAGAAAAATAAATTAAATGACATCAAGGAAAATTACGCTTGAAAAGAGTAAAGAAAAGAATGAGAAAGCGGAAAAGGTAGAATGGAAAAGAAAGAGAAAGAGAAAGAGAAAGCGAAACAGGACCACACACAATCAAAGTTAAATCAGAGACCACGAATTACAATGAGCAAAAAAATAAATAAAATAAAATGGCTCGAATATAAAAAAAATGGAGGCAAGAAAAATACGAATCAAGACAATGGCGAATTGCGAAGAAATCAGTACAACTATTTAATAAAAAAAAAGGCAAGAGACATCCCTGTGAAGAAAGACGAAGGAATTTTTATTTCCCTCATT